CGAGTCAGAGATGGAAAGCTAATAATATAGCATTATGTATCCCGTCATCATTTGGCAAAATGCCAGGCGTACTGTGCATGACTGTAGAATATATGTCAGGCTAACACGAAAACATCTCCATTAGCCCTTTCCCTCGCTTACATCGCATCTCTAGCATTCTCTGCAAAATATAAAGCAGATCTAAGCATAGAAAAAATGGTGTGTGAGTGCATCAATACGTGTTAGAGAAGGCAAGCTCTCTACACTCGCTATAATATAGACGCGCTATGGCACGCGTATCATCTAGAAAAGACTGCTCTCATTACATCTCGCCACATTTCATTCACGAAACTGAAAGTAAACAGCATAATGTGTGACACGCCACGCGACAGCAGCTACTGTCAGTTCCAGAGAGGTTTTCACGCTTAGCGTTTATTCATATAAGGCTGGCACAGACTTCTGAACATCATATATACTCATCAATATACGCATTATATGTGCTTTGTCTTATTCCATTTTGTGCATTAGTTTTGTTAATTATTACCCACAGTTCATTTCAAAGTAAAATATTTTGAAAGGTGTTTTGAAAAGTATTTTGAAACGTGTTTCTGTGCAATGATTGTGTTCATGTAGAACAGAGACTAAGAGTTCCGAGAGGCTCCAAAGCTCCACCTTCTAATGGAAAAACTCCACCCCTCCATGAATGCTCAATACGGGCCTGATAAAGACACACGCGCGCGCGCGCAGGCACGCATGCACGCACGCACACACACACACTAACACGCACACACACACTAACACGCACACACACACACATACACGCACATTGAACACACACACACACGACACGCACGGCACGCACACGCGCACCGGCTGCGCCGCGCGCACACGACCACACTCACACCGCCACAACCGCACACGCGGCACCGACGCACACAAACACACACACGCACGCACGCACGCACACACACGCACACACACAAACACACACAATATACATACAATATGCATATATATATATATATATATATAGAGAGAGAGAGAGAGAATATACACTAATACATGATGAAACCTATAGCTTCCACTGACACTCAGTAAAACACAACTTCGTAACATGTATAAACTAAGGTTTATTTGTATATAACAATACTTGTATCACGTAATCGGCACTGAGATTATCGAATTTCAATTGCAAATCTTACAAATACATGAGGTTATTCTTTTGCACAATTTAAACAACTGGCGATAATTTGGTGTACATAAATGGTAGCATAAAATAAACATACTACAGTCAGTTCACCGAGGTCACTTTTTGTTTATCTTCAGTGAAACGAAATGCAATCATCTATTCATATGCAGTAAACTTTACATGAGACAATAATATATATGAATATGCATATTAAACATGTAAAAATAAGCGTGAATGAATTAAAAGAAGATCTATAGAAGCATTTTATAAAACCACAAATGAAAGTGCTTCGAAAGTTTCCAACCAGATTACATAGTTTTCTCTATTATCTACAAATGTTGGGCGAATCAAATAACTAGGTCAGCAAACTAATGCTTCATTCTATCAGCTCGTATATCTGATGTCGGCCGACACTAGAAGTTTCACAATATGAGGTTCTAGCTACCTCTAGTGACGAATAAATTGGTGAAATAATTTACATAAAATCAGGAGTAGATAATAGAAGATCTTCTATTATCTACTCCTGATAAAATCACGAACAAAGAATAGACTCTGCGACGCATTTGAAGACGTCATGTACTTGTCTTCATCGTGACGTACCTGACCGCTTTCGTGATGCCAACAAGTGCAACCCGCGCTAGTCCTGCTCTTTAAACCTGAAGTGATGCGTCACACAATGATTTCTGTTGACATAAAAGTTGCGTGCCTGCCGCTGATTGCTGTCTGTACTAAACACAATCCATAGATTCATATATAGCTACCATATACCATATACCATATAGATACCATATACTACCATATACAGCTTACTGTTCTCTTTATGCTCGGTATCATACGTACAGTTTATTGCACGCAAATAGCATGAATTACTATGATCTATCCCTGTAAGGTTACTGTTGTGTTGCCGGAATATGTAACAAGTGGATTCAAATTTACTACTCTTTAACTCATGAGATCTACAAATTCAAATGGGTCAGGTTACAATGCAAGACATCATTGTGCAGCCGGGCTACGTATCTTACTCATATGCATAACCTTTGGCACCACGTTTCTAAATTGCGCAGTACATGCGGTACAAGCCTATATAGTATGGACCCTTCTACGGACGTCCTCTACTCAGTGGCGGCACCAGGATTGTAAAAGTGGAGGGGGGAGCAGAGGGCAAGGAAAAATGTTGGGAGGGAGGGGGAAAATGTTGTGATGCTGTGAACCGGGTTTGTGAACTGTGTCCTTACAAATTCAAACGTGTCACGTTATAATGCAAGACATCATTGTGCAGCCGCGCTACGTATCTTACTCATATGCATAACCTTTGGCACCACGTTTCTAAATTGCGCAGTACATGCGGTACACACTTCCTGGCTATAGGAAAAGCCCCTCATCTTCGGTGTCCCAATAGTTATTTTGAACAATTAAAGTAGGGTACATATTATCAGGAGTGAATAATAATAGATTATTATTATATTGATTATATTGATTTATTATTATAGATTTATATTATGCTCGCTGATGCTCTTTCCATGGTTATTGCTGCACATAACTATAAAACACCCATAACGGCACATTTCTTAATAGTCAACTGATAAGCCAATGATTGCATTGTAATGTATTGCGAAACTTTTCATAAAATTTATCATGATCAAGTGAAGATTGGTACTCCTTCTTGTTTAATAAAGCCTATCCATAGCACTCGATCGTCCACGCATGATTACTGCTTTCAACATGTACCATCTACAAAGGATTCCTTAAAGATTAGCTTCTTCATTTCAGTCATTCCATACTGGAATTCTCTTCCTTGTTCTTTGGTTAATTGTAAAATTGAACATTTTTCTACTGCAATCCACAGTGTTAATCTGTCAATTTGATCAACTTTGTCTTTCCACATCTTCTACATAGTCTCTTGGACTTTGAAGACCAATTATTGTGAGGTTATGATGTATGTTTGCAATTCCCACTGATATTCACAATTTCACAGCATTTACTGTGTTACCAGCTGTTGGTCGGTGCTAGTATCGCACTTGACCAAATATTTCGGTCAAGTGACTCATCTTATACAGTCGAAATCTGTCTTCAAGTTGGCATGACAACGAACCAGCTGGTTCTAAACAATCACCGGACTTGCATACTTTTACTGCGAGACTGGTGATGTGATTTGCTCCAGATTGTAATCACCATATTCTCATTAATCCAGATAATTCTCACTTCATCCATTACCTTGAATTTTATTATTCTTACGATAAACTGTAGATGTGTGTATTATCAAATTTATTATTATATCACGGCCCCTTAAAATATTTACAGCACACAGCATATACACCATACTAATTGCTTAAAACAAGCGACGATGGCACCCTGGGAAGGTGACATTATTGCTTCGGCTCTCTGTATTACTCTCTCTATATATAGTATACGGTCCTTGTTGATATTAAATAGAAATTGCCACTGTTCAGTCTCCCCCCCCCAACACACATACTATACTATGCTTATTGCTAGTAAGATTTCATTAGAGCATAGCTAGAATTTGAACTGTACAATACGGAATGCAAATACACTAGTAACATGGCTTATTATTTAAACATACACTCGTCTAGTTTGTTTAAAAAAAATTCAAGCCTTTGTGATAGCTGCTTGATATTGTGCAATAGTAAGATAACTTGTCATATACAACGCTAGGAGGAAAAGAGATGGAGCAACAACTAAAACAGTCTAAGCATTTCATGGGATGAGGTCATTTAATGAGTAGGGGAAAAATCGACATTGGGAGACTGCACAAGACATTGCCACTAAAATAATAAATATCTTAAAGGCATAATAGGCCCATTGATTGGAGCAAGGGAGACTTGTCTATCATTATTTATATTACTCACATTTTTCATTATAATAATCTGCCTGTGCATAAAAATTACTATCTCCAAAAAAAACCAATAACATGTTACTAGATTTTACAATGTAACTAACTTTTAGATGTGTCAGAACTTTTTTATGTTTAGATTTAAAAGGTCAGACAAGTTTTTGGCAAATCGTGAATTAGACACTAGATGTGGCAAGAGAAATGGTTATTGCATGGCTAGTGAAATAATCAGGTTGGTAAGTGAATATTTCAGCTTACTAGTAAATTAGTAGGGTTTTATGTAAGGGAATTATTCTCATATGGTTGGAATAAACGCAACAGGCACATTTTGAAGAGTGGCCTAACAACATGCCACGGAAGGCGATAATTTGACATGCATGCATAAAAAATACCTATAAACTGATCTTGACTAAACTAAACTAGCTTGACCAACATTTGATTTTCAACAACATCCTGCGGGTTATCACGGTTAGGGCACGTCAGCGTTGCGCCGGTTACGTCGGATAGTGTTAGGCTTATTATAATGTACACACCGTCAGGTGCTACCACCTAGCGACGGGTTTAGGTAAGAACGATGGAAGCAAATACAATAAAACGACTAGAACCCATATAATATCATCCATGAAACACAACATCATGCGACAATGCTATCACGAAAGACACGATGGCCAGACTAGGTCTAAATAGATTCATTAGAAAGGGCAGTGATGCTTTGATTTCTCTGTAGATTCACTATCACTTCACCAAACTGTCTGCCACCGACTTTAAACACCTGCAAGTTGGTATAATTTTCCGACCAGCACGGTGACATGGTTGTATTTAATATTATATAAATCTATAACTACTATATACCATTAAAAACATTTATGAGTCCATCTATGTACTTAAACGTGCTATTTTCCTATCTGGAAGTGCATATACACAATGGTTGTTGAACGACATTTCAACGACACTATTACCAATGAAAACAAACACACTTACCTATCCAGAATCCTTAACATTGTAGGAGTTATGAAGCCCACGCAGCCAAATCTTTCATATCATCGTCTTCTACTTCAGCTGAAATTAATACCGTCAATGTGTATTAAATAAAACAATAACTGAAACTAACTGTTTATGCCTAATCGAAAACTCATTCCTCACTACTGTTAGTCTGTTAGTATATGTGCGCGGATTGGGGGCGCAGATTGGCCTAACCAGTCACGTTCGCACCCACAAAACCTGATGTCAAACCCCAGGATGACTGGATGGTCTTTATCGTTCCGACAGACGAATAATATAATATATATATATAATATATATGTGCGACGCCACATACCCCTACTGGGCTTCAGGGCAACTGGCTCTGCAGTAGGCACACTGGGAAGATCCTCTCCAACTGCTGGCTCCACCCTCAGGAGTTGTTCGTCAAGTTCCTCCTGCTCTAATTCTTCCAACTCTGCCATCAATTCATCCTAAGAATAGAATTAGATGGTGGATTTGAAGGTGTTTAGAAGTAAATTTACACAACTAAGCACAATATTTACCACTGCATAACCTTTTTAAAACAAGCATATGTACAAATACAATTATAATACTTGACAAGACATCTACAAAGCAATAATTCTGCATGTTTGCCCAACTGATTAAGCATTTACTGGCATTCCTTGCTTAATGGTTACAAATTCGAATTAACTTTTGACATTAATATAGATGTCATGTAACCCTCAACAGAGAGCAAGACACATTACCACCAAATAATTCCTTTCAATACTCATAGTGATAACAGCAAATCGATAATTTTTACTAGCAATTTTGCTTAACTACATTGTAATTATGCCTGCAACAATAGGCCTAGTCAATGATAAAGATACGAATAATTATATTTTGTTATATATTGGTTTGATATATGATTATTTGATATTAGCTAGATGGCCAGTTACAGTCCTGTATTTGAGTCACGCAGATTGTGATACTGTATTATGAATCATATCATGATGTGTATCAATAAGTATTGTATGGTGACCCAAATATTGGGATAAGCATTGTATTGTTGACTAGACATATAATTTCAGGCATACCCTTAACATCTTGACACCCACAAGGTTTTATCTGAAATGTAACCCATGCAATTGCTGTGAAATAACTGTACATGTTACCAACTATATTATTACCTCATCGACATCGGTTCCAAATCCAATGGGGTTTGAAATAGCATCTGATATCTCATTTGCAATCTCCTGCTGTTCTGCGACATCATCCATCAAGTCGTGTACTTTGTCCACATCCCTGTATATGTATTAAAGGTATATATTGTTAAAAAACCGCACTATCCCTTTTCTTGTGGTTCAAAACTATTCTGTGCTGCCTGTTTGCATTACATTTCAGGTAAGGTAATAACATTGGTATTGAAATATATTAAAAGTACAGATGCAATACATACCATACACATTGTATATGGATGTGCATGTGCAATCACAATTTTCAGAGAGTCACACTGACTCCTACTGATACAAATATGGAAGTCTGTGAGTAATATAGCAAGTATCTGAATTCTGGACTAGTGCTAATTTTCAAACCTGCATATTATATACTATATGTCATACTATACATACCAAACAATTTCTTAATGAATTAACAATGATGTCAAGATTGATAACTTGCATCACCAAAAAGATTGGCATGAACAATAACTGAAATTAACAAAAAAACATTGCACATAATTGTAGCAGTCTTCAGACTGTAACTACCCGACCTATAATATACATCTAATTTCTAAACCATGTAGACTTACATATCCTGGTGTGCATTTTTCAATGCCTTTGCAGCATAACCCATTATCTTGAGAACCTCTGTGTTGGTACTGGCATTTTCTAGAGCTTCTCTCTGAAACTCTATTGTTGACAGAGTTCCGTCGATCTGCTGTAGCTGTTTCTCATACCGCTTCTTCCTTTTTAGAGCCTGAATAGCAACTGAAAAAAATGTGTATATATATATATTAAGCTTTACCAATCAGTAATTTCACTATACAAGCACTTGAGTCAACATGCTGATAAGTACACCATTTAATTCCTCTTCATCCTGTCTTAACCCTCATCCTCTTAAGTGACCCCAGTCTCAACAACCTTAATGTAATCAATATGTTATATGTTTGTGCTGACCAGTATCCAGGGGGGGTCGTACAGATGGAGGGGGGCGACAGCAAAGCTTTTGATTTCGTGGTGGTTCCATTTCCGTGTGGTCTTAGGCGTTTTCACTATAAGTTGTACAGCGCCCCATGATGCCTGTCCTATGTAACACTTGATATGTGAACATCAGAGAGATCGCACCATGATTGCATGAAGAAATGGATAAGGATGTTGTACGAGAGAGTATGCGCATTATGTGGCTATTCGTAACATCGAACTGATTCCTCTGCGTATTGCTCTGCTCTGTGCTGCTACAGAACGTCATGACAGCAGTACCTACGTCATGTTGAAGGGAACTGTCGACAGCCGTCATGTTGAAGATGTCGGCGACGTTGTTTTGCCTGAAGTTCTTCATGTAACGTGATGTTGTGCACGCAATCGCCAACTTCCTCAATATGATAGATTTGGATGACATTTGTCACGCGTAGTTAGACTTATATTGCTGAACGGCGCATATATGACCGCCGGAGAATGTATAACTGTTGCGTATAAAAGTTGCAAAGATATTAAAAATCCGGGGCCCGTTGTCAGAAACATCGTAAAGTTAATGCTAATGCTAATGCTAAGATAACACTTATGACTAATGTTAGTGTTACGAGAGTAGCGTTGACAGAAACACATCGTAGCTACGAGCAAACTCACGATAACAGGAACTTCTAAATTTCATGTCACAAGGCTGCTGATTGGATGAGAATCGATCACAAAATTCAAATTCATACACATTTATTGTGCATCACAGTAATTTATGCATATTATGATGGCTAACCACATATAAATAATATTTGATGAAAAACGACACGGTCTTGAATTTATTCTGCACAACAAGACAAATTCTCACGCTGTAACACGAGACGCGAGAGTCGTGGTTAGTGCAAAAGTATTTAAAACACGAGAACAAATGCCATACGCCATTTGTAAATGTTTTGTTTCGCTTCACGATCGGTAAATAATTAATGTTTTTGACGTGTTTTTCAAGAAAAACACATGATATTACTCATTAATATAAAATATAATATCACTATAATTGTAATTCTTAGTCTAAATGTGTTATTTTCATCTTAATATTAAAGTTACGAGAGGGTCTGGGCTCTCGTAATGTTAAGAAGATATTTGCGAGGATTTTTCGTTCTCGTAACATTACGATGTTTCTGTCAACGGTTAACGAGTGGAAGTTAATGTTAAGACTAATGTTAAGACTAATTTTGTTTCTGACAACGGGCCCCCGACCGTTATTTCATGAAAAATTTGATAAAATAGTGATACGAAATAGTACACGGATTGTGCGCCCATTTACCTCTTTCAAATCATACGCTGTTTACGAATTTCCATTCGCTGGATTTCCACCCGAGCTCCGCCCACTTTAAAAATAGTGCTAGCATTGTGGCAGTGGTATCTTGAGTGTGCGAAGGGGCACTGCATGCAGTTTGATTGTGGCAGTGGTATCCTGGACCCGGTTCCACAGTCGTGGATTAACTTTAACCCTGAGTTAAGACTAACTCTGAGTTAAACTCACTAACTCTGAGTTAAATTTGGGTTTCATAAACATGGATTGAATCCTGAGTGAAGTAACTCAGAGTTCACTCAGAGCAAGACTCAGAGTAACTCAGAGTTAGTATCCCATAATTCAACATAGTTAGAACAGACGAACATGATAGATGCATGATAGACGCATAGACGATAGACGCATGATAGACACACGAACATGGTAGAAGGTGTAATGAAATGAAAGTGTCAATGACCTGTACTGCAGCTCACCACAAAAAAGGACACAAATGAGTGAGTTAGAAGAAGTCAATTTTAATTGAGCAACCATCGACGTACATTATAGAAACGATTGCCATCTGTATATCGCAATAATAATTTATAAACTAAAATGAATCACAATTTGTGACTGTAGATGGCGCTATACCCGCTTTGTAGCAATGGCGTTTGAAATAAATAGCTCATGCTGCGTTCCGACATGTTTTGTAAAACTTTACTCTAATATAGACGTTTTATCGGCAGGGTGGAGAGGAAATTTACCAATTTTGCATTAAAGATATTGTCAATGAAATCTTGTAAAACGAACCAGACGAGTGTGACACCACAGACTGTTTGTGTTTATATAATATGCTATATAATTGCCGAACCCTACCTAATTTGCATAATTTTTTTTTAAATATCAAAACCCCTACCCTTATTCATTCACATACCAAAAATGAGCAAAATCCGTTGAACCTGAACTGACTAATGGCAATTCCCATTTTTGCCAAAAAATTTTCATAAATATATATATATTATATATACAGGGTTCTCCAAGAGCACTTATAGCCTGGCGGCCCGCCAGGCTATCGTCGAGCCCCGCCATCCTAAAATGCACCCGCCACTCTAAATATCATAGCCGCCATGCTAAATATCATAGCCCCCGGACCCCCTTTAGCACGCAAACCGCCTTCGGCGATTTGCAACTAGGACCGTAAAGGCAGCACCCGCCATGCTACAATGAAAAAGCTTGGAGAACTCTGATATATGATAACAAATGGTGCTAACAGAATAAACTATAGTATATATTTATATTATATATTATATTTATTTAATAGATAATCAATCTGAAATAACATGCCCAAATATGAAATTATCTCCCAGGGCTTAGACATGTTTATGGGTAAATTAAAGCCTATGTGGAAATGCATTTCCATGCAAATTATTGGCTAGCACTCCCAAACCTTCTGTAAAAATAAAGTAAAGATCTAAATCTTCAGATAAAGTATTTCTAGATAAAGTAAAATCTGATGCTAACAGTAACATTAACGCAGCGGATATTTTTCATCCGCTGGATTTTAATCCTGCGGATCCTGCTTTTTAATCCTGTGGATATTTTTAATACGGTTAAAACCGTATACAGCAGCGACTTCTTCGACGTGGATATTCGTCCGAGCATCGGACACCTGTTTGTATGCGCTATTCGTCCGAGCATCGGACACCTGTTTGTATGCGCTATTCGTCCGAGCAGTTGTTGCGCATGCGCTGTTCATGTTGCATGCCGCAGCCGCACGGCACGACTGCCGTAGGTAGGAAGTGTGAAGGGGGGGTCTCGGGGGTCTCCCCCCAGACAATTTTTAAATCTAGACGCTCTAAAATGCTATTTACCCTTTAGATTTTTGATTATTATATGCCCTTTAGGCTGGGGGCCCATAGCGTTTTGCTACAGCAGCCCTACGGCTGTGACGCCCCTGCATCAGTGTTTGCCACTGAGCAGAAAAAGCTGTAGGCCTGCAGGGCCTATAGCTTCTAAAAGCTGCAGGCCCGCCAATTTTGGAGCAAATTACAGTAATAAAACAGCATATATCATGTTCTGCCTTATGTTTATTAATCATTATCAATGTCCATAATCATAATCCCTCTGTTTTTCCTTCCTCTCGTCGGATGACTGTTTATGCTTCGTTGCCGGGGGCTCACAATTAAGGAAACGCCACATCGTTGTTATATGTAGCTCCTTGGTAACTACGATTTTCCACTTTGACAGCAGAGAGACAGACTGGTAGTCTGGTACACATCGGGGACTTCTATGGGGGTCTGGGGGCCAGAACATTTTTGAAAATTATAAGCTCTGAGATGCAATCTAGAGCCATTTCAGGGTACTCCAATAGCTTACAACTAGCAACACTTTTTGGTGGAAAAAGGGAAAAATTATGTAAAATTTACCTAAGTAGAGTACCGTAAATTTTGATGGGCAGCTGGGGATTCCGCGTCTGTGTTGAGTGTGTCGAAGTAAATGTATTTGTAGACGATTGTTCTTAGCCAGGAAGCTTTATTTAGCTACACCTGCTATAAATGTAATAGTTTTTCCAAACGTTAAAAACAATATGAACGGTTAAACTGAGTGGATGCGACGAGGCTGTACTGCTGTTTGCATGACTAGTAGTAATACGA